TCCCGATGAGTCGACGCCCGGGGATATATGTAAGTGCGCAACTTAGATCGTGTCTTACACGTGTCCTCGCGCTGCGTTCACCGAGCCTGGCATCCGACCGCCTAATTGCTTCGTGATGCTCTGAGTCATGCAAGATGCAATGATCACAAACAGCTTGATCAAAAGACAAGGAGAGACAAAGGCAGGATTATCGATTGCGCAAAATCCCTATTCTACACACGAGTGTATCGAGTGCGATCAACAAAAGCAAGACAAGGGTTCCTCAGCAAAAGATAGGCAATCCAACATGGCATCCATACATCCATTTATTCCGGAATCATACACATAATGCAATCGAGACGAAAATCGTAAGGACAAGTGTGAGCAAAAACCCAAGTCCAGATTACAGACAGTCGAAACGAGAACAAGAACGGGCAAACCGCCCGGGGCCGCAATCAAGATTTATATACATAAGAAAGGGGGGAGGAAAGATAGAAGAAACAGCAAAACCGCATCCCTCAACCTCAACTCTCTCTTCCTCTCTCTTCTTCTCCGATGCGGACAGTCCGTCGTCGCGCACCAACCCACGAAGTCGTCACCCCGCTTAGTCCTCCCGCACCCGTCAGGTTCGCCCGCGCCCACAGTCCGTCGTGGCCCGCGTCAACCTCGCGCGTTCGGCACCAGCTCGTCGGGTCGCCCGACTCCTGCTCTACTCACCTCTTACTTCGCTCGTGTGCCGACCCTTCCTGATCGCGCCACCCCGAGCTTCCAACAACTGATTAAGAGAGCTAACTAATCGCACAGCCGAAATTTATAGCGTGCATGCATGCGCGAAGAACACGGAATTACCAAGACTTAGAGGGGAGATTAGAGAGGGAGTGCCTACGTTCTGCATGACCGGGCCGCGGCGTGGGGGACGTAGCCACTCTCCACGCATCGATCTGAGCATGCAATCTGTAGTTTCAAAAACGCAGCAAAAGAAAGAGAAGGAGGGCGGGAAGGACGAAGAGCAAGAAGAAAGATACAGTTACAATGGCGCCAACCCAAGATTACAGTTACACACCCGATTAAAGGCGCCGACTAATCAGAATTCCGTTGCAGCCGCAAAAAGGAACGCGTAAGCAAATAAGGGTGTCGCGCGGCAAAAGAAAGTCCTTATTACAAAATTCCTAAATCCCTGACCAATGCGAAAAGCAAAAGTACAGGTTCCGGGGAGAAAATCCGAAATTCCGAGAGCCATCAGGGCTCGAAAAAATTCGAAAAAAAAATTGAAAGGAAAATTCAAAAAGAACAAGGCAAATTCCCGCGCGATGTCCGCGCCCAAAAGATCAAAACCGAAGCGAAAGAAACGACGTTAACTTTTATTAATCGCGCGCGCGAACGCGCCAGCCATCCAGCCGACCAATCAATCAACCGGCCATCCCAGGACATGCGCAGCTCCGAACCCAGCCATTCGAAAAGAAGCGACGGAAAAGACGAAAAAGCAAGGACACTGATGCAATTTCCGACCGATCCCGATCTCCCGTAATTGGCCCAACCTTCCCAACTTAGGGCCCCTCATTGCAACCGTGCAAAAAGTCGCGTGTTACAGAAAGTGGTTCGTCACAGTGTGAGTATGCCCTAAGTGGAGCGATGCTTCTTTTTCAAGAGTTCTAGACCTCTGACAGCTCCAGAAGCAACTGTGGTCTAGTGTAGCAGAGCCAGACCCAATGGGCCTCGCTCCAGTTCTCTCAACATGAACAAAAGACAAAAATCATGGCGTTGTATCTTTCCATACATATTCTAGTGGAAGATTCATACATATTCTAGTGGAAGATTCACTCTCGTTTTGCACATTTCGAGAGTCGTGCAGCGAGGCCCAATAGGCCAGATTCGTACGAAAGGGGGCCGCAACAAACCGCTACGGGAAGGAAAAGACGAAAGAAAGGGCCAGAGTGCACGTTT